TAAGATGAGTCTTATGTTCCTCTTCCGACTTGCTAGCAATTAGTACGTCGTCGATATAAACGAATACAAAGTCAAGGCCCCGCGTGACTTGATCCATGAAGCGCTGAAAAGTTTGTGCAGCGTTTTTCAGCCCGAAAGGCATTCGTAGGAATTCAAACAAGCCAAAAGGTGTTATAATAGCTGTCTTCTCGATGTCCTCAGGAGCGACTGGTATCTGGTGATAAGCTCTGACTAAATCCACTTTGGAGAAAATAGTTTTACCTTGCAGTGTTAGAGAGAAATCATGCAAGTGCGGAATGGGATAACGATCTGGGACAGTGGCGTTATTCAAACGTCGGTAATCCCCACACGGTCGCCAATCATGATCAGCTTTTGGTACCATATGTAATGGTGAGGACCAGGGACTGTTGGATGGCCGGATGATGCCCAATTGCATCATGTGTTCGAATTCAGCTTTGGCTGCTGCTAACTTGTCAGGTGGTAGCCGACGAGGACGTGCTCTGACGGGTTGACCAGTTGTGACAATTTTATGCGTGACAGAATGAGGAACATCTTCGATATTATAAGATGGCTTTAAAATTTTTGGGAAACGATGCAGTAATGCAGAGAACATGCAGTCATCTGGCTTCTCGATGCATATGTTATAAACAGAGTAGTTTGAGATGATTCCGTGGACTTGAAGCTGGGTGCAGTTATCAATCAGCTTTTTCTTGTTGACATCAACCAGCAGATTGAAATTGCTTAAAAAATCGGCACCCAATATGGCATGACTAACGTCAGCTACTATGAATATCCATGTAAATCGACGACGTAAACCAAGATCCAAAATAAGTGATTGTTCGCCGTAAGTCCGTATGCTAGTTTGGTTAGCTGCTCGAAGTGAAAGTTTTGCAGCTGTACTAGAAGATCGCCTGGAAAGTGAAGGAGGTATTACACTAACTTCGGCTCCTGTGTCTACCAGGAATAATGTGCCTGTGGTTTTGTCCTTCACGTAGAAAAGGCGACTTGAATGGTTGCCGGTAACAGCTGTCGCCATGACTGTCTGGTTGAGACGTTTCCCCCGAGCCTGATTCTCTTCACTAAAGATGCACGGTCTGACACATTTCAAGGCATGACGTCCAAACTTCCTGTGATACCAACATATATTACTGTCCCTAGAAGACATGCGGGACCTATGTCGGGAAAGAGATCGTCTATATGATTGTGACCGTGCTTGTGAACTCCGCCTCTCGACTCGTCGATCAGATCTAGGTGTTTCCAACTTGTCAAGCCTTGCCGCTAAGTCTGCAATGGCGGTGAGTATTGGTGACGACATTATAGGTGTGAGAATATTGATACAAAGGGGAATACAAATATGAGACCACCAACAAAAACTTGCAATGAAGGTACAAAATAGCAAAAATAAGTATATAGATACGTGAAACAATCCGTGTTCCAAAACGGGCTCACCAATTAAGTGTAGTGGACCTAGTAGCTAGGTAAGTATATAAACGCAATTAAAAGGAGAGAACAAGTACTAACAAATACGTATATATAAAATATTCGGTTCACTTAAGTTAATATACACAAAAAAAGGGACTGAGTTTATTTGAAGAAAACTATAACAGTCACAAAATACACAAATTATAGACGTACGAAATTATAGGAATGTAATTGTCCTTCTCTTGATTATACAAATTCTCCACTACAACTTAGCGCTGTCAACCGTCGGAAGTCTCCACGTAGAGTAAGGCAGATAGGAGCGAAGTTCTCGAAGGGGATGTGTCAACCAGTGCGAGACAGCGTTGGTCAGCAGATGTGCTGGGCGAGCAGCCGGAGAGAGGGCGAACGATTCGTTCCTTGCGCGCGGTTCAAGGTTTCAGGTTGAATTCCTTCCTTTTTTCCGTGAACATATAATTTGATATGTTTTCAGGTCGCCACAAGCTAAGTGTTTACAAGAATTCATATGCCTATTGACAACAGTGTCAGTTAGTTGAGTCAAAGGGATAGCACTGACCCTACTTACAGCCTTCAATGTTCTTCGTAGTATTATATGGTCTTTCTTGAGTAGCCCAGGGAAGAATAATGGAGAACAATAAAGAATGATGGGCAAAACACATGAGTTAATAGATTGTATGAGAAGAAGTTGGGTTATACCTGAGTGCCTCAACTTCTTTATGTAATAAGTCAGACGGAAAACTTTCTTAGAAACTATAAGAATATGAGACGACCAGCAAAGGTTTGAAGAGAAACTAATGCCAAGATAAGAAACACTTGACTTACTCTCTATCATGGTACCATCAATATTACAACAATCATGAGATTGGATCAATCCATGCATGTCTATTTCACTTCTCAAGCTGAAATCAACAGTATTACATTTAGTTGGATTTAGTTTAAGACCATTTGAGCCAGACCAATCCTTAACTTCAGCTAAGAAGCCATTCATATGGGAACAATCCAATGTGGAAACTACAGGGACAGAAACGGTCAGATCATCAGCATCCTTAATGAAGTTAACTTTGGGTGAGTTCGGAAGGTCATGCAAAAAGAAAGAGAAAAGAAATGGAAAAAGTACTGCTCCTTGAGGCACACCACTTTCAGTTAGCTGAGAAGTGGAGCGCTTTCCAGCCAAAACAGTATGCTGTTTCCTATCCTTAAAATAAGAAGACAGCCATCTAGTTGCCCAGGACTCTGTTTGTGCTGAAATCATCTTTCCTAATAAAAGTGTCCTAGGAACAGAGTCGAAAGCTGCAGTATAGTCTAAAAAAAACTGTTCGAACGAACTTAGTACCCTTATCAAGGCAGGAAACAATATTGTGGTATAGTACAATGGCTGCATCTAATGCACGTCTTCCACACTCATAAGCAAACTGCTTAGGGTCACTAAAAGCTTTTAAAGAAGGTTTAAGAGTATTCAAAAGAAGTTTCTCCATAGTTTAAAAAAAAAAGATGTTATAGCTCCCGGTCTAAACTTTATACCTGCTCCAGATGATTTCTGTACATGTACAACCTTGATTTCTTTCCAGTCAGCAGGTACCGTTTCCCTGTTAAATGATGCATTAAAGATTTGAGTAGGAGGATGACACAAGATGTCGGCACACTTTTGAAGAAGAATGCTTGGTACACCATCTGGACCAAGGCTGTGTGTTGGATTTAAAGATTGCAAACATAATAGTACATCCTTTTCTTTAAAACCCGGAAAATGACCATTATCTTGACTAGGTACATCAGGTACAACCATATTAATTTGTTTCATGATAAATGATTTGTTTAAAGCATTAACATCAGAATAAGCATCAACAGACATTTGTGTTTTACTTGTAAGTTTATTGAAAAGTTTCCAAATGTTTGAAGGATTTTTACATGATAAAACTTTTTCGTTATATAGTCTGTTCAACCTTTCTATTTCAATTTTTATAAGAGTGTTTATTTTACGGACACCAGTATTATCACAATTCTTATACAATTTCTGTTTTTGTCTTCTAAGTTTTTTCAGTTGCAAAGAAGAGATTCTGTCAAATCTATTCAAAGCTATTCAAATTAAAACAAAACTCAGTAGTTCAGTGAACACCTTTGCTTTAAATCTAATCGAATATACTGACGCTATATGTCTTGAATCAGGTTTTTTTTAAGCGGAATCCTAATCATATCACTGCATCTACTCGAACTTTATACGGTTGAAACCGAAACATATATTTCCCTTTAATACAGTTACATGTACTTTGAGACTCTAGAAGAAAATTTCATTTCTGATGCCTTTTAACTTGATTTAACTAGTAGTTTCGATTCATTCCTCCTGTATGAAAGTATGTTGTGGACTCACATTTGTCTCCTGAATTCCATACCTAAGTTCAACTTATTCTTTACATTTTCCACCTCACCTAATTTCCTAATGTATGCGTATCCATTAGTTTGAAATCAAAAAGTTTCACTCTATGATTTCGGGATAATGTCGAGAGTCCCAGACTAGAATGAAAGAGATGTTCAATACTCCTTGGTTTTCCAGTGGCTCTATAGCTGATGTCGGCCGGTGATCAAACCTTTAACTAACCGAATCCCTGCAAACCAACTTTTGAAGATTTCTTATTTGAGACGTTGGTACGAGTTGAAAAGAAATAGAAGATACTTAACAGCAGTAGTAAGTATTTGAGATCTGAAAAAAAATTAATTTCCTTCTACTTACTTGAACATTTGACATGAGTCGATCGCATCTACACTGTCGCTGATAGATACATTTAATGACATTATATCAAAATTTCTAAGGTTTAACTAAGACGTGGGCAAAATTATCGATGCCCAGTAATGCAAATAACGCGTATAATACATACATGAGTTACTTCAGAACACTTAACTCTCCAAAAATTTATCTACTGATAGATAAATTACTGAGACACCATTATTAACCTGGATAAAAATTCATTCCTAATTTAATCTTAACTTATTTCTCGTTAGTTAGTTAGTCAGTTTTACCAAGAGTAAATTAGTCATTGTAGTTACTCGGATAAATGACCTTTGACAATTCATTCAATTATATACATTACTGGTAGAAGAAACACTGACCACTTTGATAAAAATGTATCGTATAGAATTTCATAAAGATTATCCATCCTTTATCTGGTTTCATTTGTCAGGGGTAATTCTCATTTTAGCTCTGTATGTGCATGCATGCATGCCTGCATTTAGGTGGTAGTTTTCTCTATGACCTCCTGTGGAGACTCATTCCCTCGTCAGCATACAAATAAGTAATACAGGAGTTCATATTAATGGGACGCATTCACATTAACAACACGTACATCATTTCAGCATAGACTTTTTATGCCCTTAGGGAATATTTTCGTGAGAGAAAAAAAGAAACGAAAAATAAAACCTGTAACGGTGAAGAAGAAGAAGAAGAAGAAAACCCGAAGAAAATTAACACATTTAAAATGATCTGGAAATAAAACTTTTTATTTTTCTGTTATGCTTTCTGTCTGCATCAAATCAATAAGTGTTAAACTTTTTGTCTTTTCTTTTTCTTATCATTTCCATTGTAGTAGTGTTAAAAAGTCAACTAATCTTTTCAGTATTCGGAATTTGCCTTTGAGCATATTAACATTTCGTATTGAAGTATTGATTACATTCAGTACTACCAGTGAATTAGTATTGTGATTAATACTTGTAGCATTTTGTAGTCTGGAAGATTAGAAAATCGGAGAAAAAATTAACTAAACCTAATCTATTAGTTTTATGAAACAGTGATTGTAGCGAATGAACATGCCAACATCTGTCCTGTCTTTCTTTTGTGACTCGTATGCAAATCCAATGATGTTTATTGTTGTTATTGTTCATGGTGTCTTGATTGCATGGAGGATTTCATCATGAGCTGATATCGGCTAGAGAACCATTGGAAAACCTGGGAGTACTGGACAGCTGTTTCATCCTGGTTTGGTACTCTTCAGCAGTACTCACCCACCGAGGTTCGAACCCAGGACCTTCTGGTTACAAGGTGAGCTCCTAGACCATTGAGCCACTGGGACCCGATGGTGTTTTGATTGAAATAGTTTTATTTTGAAGGAAAGATGAAATAGGATTTTGTGCAGCGTATTGTGGTAAACGGATGTCGCTTAATGAACGGTTGCAAACACTTGTACTTTCCCTATTCTGTGAATTATCAAGGTATATTCCATCAGGTTACAAAGTGAACATCTTAAGCTTCCACACTACTGGAATGGAATCCGACTGACTACTTTCTTAAACTAACTAATAAATTTAACTGGGTTCAAACTATCGCTTTAGTACAGTCAAAGAAAGATCAGTAGTTTGATTTTGGCTTTTTAAAGCATTTTCTCTAAACTGAATGATTTAATTGCCAAGTTGTTATTCTTCATCTGAACAACGTCTTCAGACCTAACTTCACAGTGAAGTGAACCTATGGAATTCTCCATTATGACCAAGTCAACGAAACTATCATTGCTAATTTAGGTGAATACAATGATAAGAAAAGTAAGACTCCGGAGAAAACTAATAACACTCAAGGTTATCAGGAAAGATGGTTATTTCATTCATGGAGAACTCCAAAGTACAATTCACTGTGAAATTAGCGCTTAAAATGTATACCACAGTGCCCAAATTCTACACTTACATTACCTTTGAAGATATTTTTTTTAAAGATCAATGAAAAAATCCTGTGATTTAAGTTACCGGCTTACAGAACACAAAAGCTACCAAAAACATCCACCTGAGGCACAAATTTTCGCCATCATTTCAAGAACAAGTAGTTTTAAATGTAACTACTTTTATCTTTTACACACGTGACCATGTTAGTGATCATCTTTGAATAAAGGTATGTGTTCATACTGAATCCAACTTTGTTGACCTTTATAGCTTGACATTGAGTACTATAAGTATTGGTATCTTGTTTCATTTTGCCTTTTACAACAGCTTGGATACTGATACACACTTAACTATCTGTTTATATATCTAATGAGTTGAATATCATACAGTAGTATAACTTACAAACAACTTGACTACAAGCTACAATTAGCAACATGTGCGAGAAATAGGATTCACGTGAATTTAAGTGTATGCAAAAGATACAGTAGTGAGGTGAGGTGTGTGTGTGTGTATTTTGTCGGAAAACAATTTTGACAATGACTACAATTAATCTCTACTTTTTGAAGGAAATAAATCAAATATATATATTTCTCTACATTCTTAAAAAAATAGAACATTTTCAGTCAAAACTGTGTCTAATAAATGTGGATATAACTAAGGTAATTTTGACAGCTTTGGTCAGTGGACTTTGTGTTTCTATGATAATGTCGAATACAGCTGAGCTCAGCTGTGTACTTGGTGTACTTTCTCTCGAAAATATCCAGCTTTAATATTCTTAGTGTTTTCAACATTTAGAACTGAAAGTAGCCTAGTAATGAATATGCATACACATGCAACAAGATCCTTGATTCCCAACCTTCATTCTGTTATGTAATAGGAAAGATTCAGCGTAAAGCCAGATTTATCAATAACTAGTTGTTTGTGTGAGTGGTTTCCAATGGCTTTTATCAATCAGTAGTTTATGCAATTGTGCAATTATACCTGCTTTCTTGATTGACATTTATAGTATCAAGCTGAATACGCACTGTGATCTGAATATTTGGCTTTCCAAAGGAAATTGTGGTGAATTTTCACCTCGAACTGTGTAGTTTCCAAGTAGTGAATATCATTCTCCGTATTACCAGCTTGTTCAAGCAGCCAGCCAGAATCTGATTGCTTTGAAATGATTCTGCTCTCTGAGATGAGTCGAACTAGCTACGGCTTCAAACAAACGAAGCAATCATATGGTGTTGAGATCACTTGGACAAACAAGCACTACTGGTTAACTTGGGTGGCTGCCAATTACTGCAGTATATACTATCTTACTGGTAACCTGATTCTGCAGCTGTATAAATGAATGCAAACATTACATTTATTTGACAAGAAAACAAAAGCATTTTGCTCAAGATGTCGTTAATTCAATTTTGACTACAGTTCAGGTGATTCGAAAAGAATTGTGTAAAATGAATAAACCTAATTAAAAAGGCTTTTGAGTTTAGTTTTTTTTTATTCCTTTACGTTCCTAGTGGAACATAGGGCTTCAGGCTAGAGACCTGAATTTTCCGTAGCAGTGGTGTTTATTTTTACGGGATGAGGTTGCTAACCTCATGCCCAACCTTCCCCAGTCTTTACCAGTATAATTACTGGCTTAGCGAGGTAAAGAAGTGTGTCGAAAGGGGATCGAACCACCGGACCAAATGCGTGGTTGGCGAGCATTCTACCGCTATACCACCGACGCACTTTGAGTTTGTGGTGATATAATTATTCCCAAAATAAATCCATAAAACTAGAATAAAAATACTATTTCACTGGTCTTTATTGACTATCTTGGAGATAAACCACGCGAGTTCCTAATTAGTAAGGCTAATCAAGTCGGATGTGACGATAGCTACTCACTGACAACACCGAATAGCAATGGCGTTGACAGAAATTTGAATTCGCAGGCTATAGACAACTGAATAGTAATCCTAACATCCAGGACCTGATTCTTCATCAGGTCATGAGTCCTTACTACTCTACAGAACTAAAAAAGCTACCTAGTGCTCCCTGGTTTTCAGTGGTTTTCTAATATGATATTGGTTGGCGGTGAAATCTACTTCAAAATAAGAATTTGTGTAAAGTGAAGTTTTAAGAAAGAATATTTAAAGATTTGTTCACATACGGAGTTCAAACTTTTTTGATTGAACACTAGTTACTGACTAGTATTCAATCAAAAATATCCAACACAGTCCAACAGGAGGTCAGTCGCGAGCCTGAATAGCTCAGTGGTAACGTCTCTGACTGCAGCACTGGGTGACGCGGGTTCGAATCTCAGAAGGGACATCAGTTCCTTCAAGGTTGCAGATACGCCTTGTTGACTGGTGACTGCCAACTAGCACGAAACCTAGGTCCAAGGCTTCCTGCCGATTGCCTCCAACCATCTAATACCAACAATTCACGGAGTTCAAACTTGCAATCATGAATTTCCATTACTCGAAAAGTTTGAAAAAGTTCTACCTATAAAACCTCTTATATGATTTATACTCAAGGCTAATTTATTACTTCACATGGTTGCCAGAATAGTTCACAATTTACACAACTGAACTAAGAAACTACTTTGTTTCTTCCTAGTAAAACCGATATGTCGTGTGTTTTACACCATTTTTTTTTTTGTTTTCTCTTTTCATATTTCTAATGAATTCATTCATTTATGCAAATGAATTATGTCATTTCATAGAAAAACTGACTAGCTTTATTTTAAGGTATTATCATTTTCTAGTTTTATGTAACACAACACAAGAACAATAATGATTCATTTCATCAGGTTTTCTTAACTGTTGAGTGTAGAGCAAAACTCTAACGTAATCTTCAGTAGAAATGACTAATTTATTATTTATGTGGTAGGTGGTGATTTAAAGTGTAATGAAAGCCTTAGTTGTGCACGTCAGGATTGCGACTAACAGCCTCCAGATTACTTGCTCACTGCTCTAACACCTGATCTGCCAGCTTGGAAATAATAATTATACTGAGGCCACTGGTTAGAGTTCTGTCACGAGCTACATTTTCGTGTTACATTCAGTTATTTTCAAGTATTGGTTTGATTGCAGAAGTTAGAATTCAAGGACCATTGGATCGGGTCCCAGTGGCGCAATGGTCTACGAGCCCGCCTTGTAACCAGAAGGCCATGAGTTCGAATCCCGGTGGGCGCGTACTGCTGAAGAGTCCCAAACTAGGACGAAACAGTTGTCCAGTACTCCCAGGTTTTCCAGTGGTTCTCTAACTGATGTCAGCTCATGATGAAATTCTGCATGCAAACATTCAGTTACCACGCAAAACTCCAGTAGTAGTCGGAAAATACAATACTATCCTGCATAATCTCATCACTAATTTAGCTGTTAAACAATTTTTCTCATAAAATCAATTATTTCTTAACAGTTTCCAATGTGGATTAACAGTTGGAGAATCAAAGCAGTTCAGAAGGCACTACACGCTTGTCCCTGCGTAGTCCAAACTCAATCATGTGGAACAGATTCTAGGACTCGTAAAAACTTATTTTATAGTACACACTTCAAGAGACTTCCTTGCTGCTACGATTTTCACTCTATATACACATTACACCATGTTTAACCTATGGAATTTTGTTAAGACTGGCATAGAAGTCTCAGACGTTACTCCATGAAACTGTGCGTGATCTAGTGATTATTATTATTATTCTAAGTGGTAGTAGTGGTTTCCGTATTCAGTATAGGTGACTTTGTGTAATTTGTCTGAATTCATTTTTTCAGTTGACGGCTTTGAAACTCAAGGTCGTATCTCTGAATGTGGTGGAAATAAATGACCGATAAAAGCTTGGGTCTGTTGTTAAACCATTGAAAACACCAGGTCCGAACTTTGTTCTAACACAAAAGCTTTGCTAACTGGACCATTTTTTGTTGTTATTTGGTTGCCTCGATCTCAAGACAGAATTTGCGTGCTGCGAACAAGTGACAATGAAAGATACTTGGGTCAATTAAGATTTAATGAGAACCGGTCCAATTGAAAATTTTTGACAAGCGTATTTTTGTGACTCGCTACAACTTGAAGTTTGTATTGATGAAACGTAAACCTTACTCTTAAACGAA